ATGACAGAACACAGACCAGCTGAATGATGCTTTCAATTAGATCGCTAAACTCCAGCTTGTTTGTCGGTGTTTTCAGATCATCAGCATAAATGAAAGCTCGCATAGTAGAGGCGTGTAGAGCAGTCCGCAATAACATTTTGTCTCCTTTTTTTGACGAAAATAAAAGGAGGTTTTTGGTAAAGATTTATCTTTTTGAATACATTTTAGTCTCGTCTTATTTCATCAATGAAATTGCATGTTGATATAGTCTTAGTTATCGTTTATTGACCTTATTATCATCTCGTCTCGTCATAGTCATGGGAAAAAAGCTTGTCAACGAACATTTTTCGTCAAAGTCTTCGTTAACGAAATTAACACTAGTCCGCAGGCTCCCATCGAGAGGCCAAAGGTACAGAGCCCACAGCTCGGGCTGGGGGAGCCATATCGTTCTGTTTGTCTGAGAGAGGAGGTCCTCTCTTAGGGGAATGGGCCGAGACAGCTCTGCGAACCAGTTTTGGTTCCTCCAGAGCGTGGCCACTAACAGAACCTTGTGTTTCTGTTCCCTGATTCACCTGATTACCTGCAGGATCAGGGCGATTGGGAGAAAAGCATAAAGGAGGAAGTTGGGCCAGTCGTGGGCCAACACATCCCTGTGCTTTGAAAAATAAGTTGGACAATGAGAGGAGAAGAGGTCAACCTCTGCCCTGCCAAAGATCTCCCAGATTCTTTGAACCGTTTGTGGGTGGAGCATCCACTCTTCTGAGGGGACATTGCTCTGAGATAGCATGTCTGCTCCTTGGTTCAACCTGCCCGGCACATGCGCTGCTCTCAGCAAACGCAAGTTGAGCTGAGCCCATTTCAAGAGCTGCTCTATGAAGAGGCACTTCGAGGAGAGACCGCCCTGGCGAACACCACCGTCATGCTGTCTAAGCGGACTGAAACATGGTGTCCCCTTAGGTCCGGCAGAAAGGTGTGAAAGCCCAGACATACTGCCAGCATTTCCAAGCAGTTGATGTGAAGCCGACCCTCCTCTTTCGACCAGTGGCCGAAAACCGGTTTGCCGTCGCACAGCGCTGAAGGAGAAGAAATCTGAGGATCCTATCACCATAGGCTCGTGCAGCTCCGCTGCCAAGTCATTGGTTCGTTTTTAATTCACTACACTGCGTCATTGAAAAGGCTTCCGTCATCTGAGAAAAAGGAGTTTTTCCCATAGCGTCTTAAGCAGACGCAGTACGAGTGAAGTATCGATAGGGAACAGGTAATGACATGGTTGAACAGCCTTGTTTATTGCAACATACCTTTTGAAGATGCTCCCAAAGGTCTGTGTATACTGTGTTGTTGAATTTGAAATGATCCAGATAAGTCTGTTGAAACAAATTGTTGTGAATGTACAAAAACATTCTCCATTGCAAAAGCATATTAAATTTTTACTGTACAGCACAACAAGGAACAGTGTACAAAAGGGTTTTACCTGGAGGCCTTGAGTAAACACTTTCTCAGTCAGGAAAGTAGATAACATCCTAAGTACAGATGCCCCCTAGAGGAAGAGACTCTGCATTACCAGACAAACCACATGTATTCTGTATGTTCTTCATTATTAGACATTATAGTCAACATAGAAAACAATTCCCATTATACCTTACTGTAGGAAATTGTATCAAACATTTCAGTAATTTGCTCTGGTCTTTGGATCTCCTCTTCTTTAGACGACAAGGGGTGAGACGAGGCCAATGCATCTATGGCGAAAACTTTGTGCACATCATTAAGAACGATCAAATCTTTCTGTGGGATAGAAATAGAGTCAGTTATGATTTCATATGCTCTTAGTGATATCTTTTTGCATTTACCATTTATTGCTCTGGCTTTTGCTTCAAACCCTCACAATGTTCCAATCCGGCTCAGCTTCATCTGCACCAAGATATTCTACATAAGTTGCAAAACCTTCATTGAGCCACAGATCATTCCACCACCTGACAGTCACAAGGTTTCCAAACCACTGAAAAAGGTAGTGAATAGGTGAATTACAGGGGTTGTAAGCTGTACTGTTGTGAGGTTGATCAAAATAAAGGTTCAAATTATAAAAAACGACTCCTGATTATACCTGATGGGCAAGTTCATGGGAGATAACAGTAATGATTCTCTCTTTGTTTTCATTTGACGATATTTCTTCATCGTACAGCAGGGCCGTCTCTCTGTATGTGATTAAGCCCCAGTTTTCCATTGCTCCAGCGTTGAAGTCTGGCAGAGCGATTTGATCTGTGCAATATTTTGAGATATGAGTTAAACTTCTAAAATGGCCTACAAATTTTATGTTTTAACCCAAATATTACTTAAATTGTCATTTTGATAATAAAAAAATTGAATTGCCTCATAAAATATAGGTCATATCTTAGGTTCTTACCTGATTTGGGCAGCGGATAGGGGACATTGTAATACTTCTCGAAGAATTTGAGAATTGGTCCAGTCACACTGAGCGCATACTCGCCTTGTCCTGCATTTATGGCTTCTTGACGGGCAAAAATTCTAATCTATATAAATTATAGAATGAAGTGTTTTAGTAGATGAACACATGTTGTTTTCTAACCTTCACTAAATTAGATTAGGGCATAGAGCAGTATGTTTCATTATTAAATTGGTGGAATTTTGTCTGAAGATCTTTGAAAAGATAAGTTACCTGCAGATTTTCAATGTCTTGTTCAATGAAGATGAAATCGCTGACAATAAATGCCAACAAATATGTCGACATTACTTCTGTTGGCGCAAATGTTGTTCTGGTTACAAGAGTGTCATCCACGGTGATGTTAACCTCATCTGAAAGTCAAAAAGAGACACTGACTGATGAAACAAGTTTAACCTTTTCAAATTATGATTAACTTGATGCTTGGTAAGCTACACTTTCAAAGCAGTTACCCAACACTGCTCCTGTACAGAATAAAGTGTTCATTTACCTATCACAACACCATTGGAGAGGGCTACGGTTGCTGGATCATGGTTAAGAGTAATGTGGAATACTGCTTTCATTGCAGGTTCATCAAAGCAAGGGAATGCCTTTCTGGCATCTGTTGCCTGCATCTGGGTTGTGGCAACCACTCTAAAAAAAGAACAAGGAGATTTAACTATACATGAAAGGCCTTTTGTAGAATAGGAGGAACTGACAAGTCAAAGAAACGTCTTACTTCTTTATTCCATTCTCATAGTATTCACTTCGGTAGAAGCCTCCCAGGTCATCCGAAAGCTCTCCTAAAAATTCTGTGTAGAGCTCATAGCTTTCTCCAGCAGTTAATTCTTCTTTCAGATGAATTGCCATATACTGTGTTTTTGTGTGCATCACAATTGATTCAATTGTAGGAGCTGGTTTGCCTCCAAGTCCAATCAAGGTGGGATGCTTTGTCATGTTCAGCTTGTTGGAGTGAATGAGGATGAGGTTTGTCTTTTCCACACATCTGAAGACCACGCTGGACAGCCCTGTGAAGATGTAGAGTCCTGTTGGATCCGGCTGGAGCCGTGGCCACAGAGTGATATTGTAAATTTTTGGACTAAGAGTCTGTGGAAGGCGCCACTGGTCCCATGGTTCATTGGATGGTGCCATTGTTGGATCTGTGGATTTAACCTCATTGTTCTTGGACTTCTCTTGGGAGTAGACCACCGGGAGAGCTGTGATTGTGGCTAGCGCTCCAGCGGCTAACACAATCCCGACTATCCCAACAGTTTTACTGATGTAGAAACCCTTCCCCATGCTTCAGCAATGACAGGATGATATGAGTGAAACTGACATCTGCACGATGTTTTATTTAAGGCTTGGGAATATTCTCCTCCCACATGAATTAATGGTTCATCAATTAATACAGCAAAGCTCCAGTGTACAAGAGGGCATCAGAGGGTCATTGATACCTATGTTGTGGCTAATCAGTGCATATACATAATATATTTATATAAATATTTTCTTGATAGCCATTTTGCATATTTAAAAAACATGCACTGTTGTGAATGCATTCAACCTGAATTTAATTTGCAGACATGTACTATACAACAGTTTACCTAAACAGTTTAGCTAAATTACCTCATGTTTACCAGGAGCAAAGGACAGGATTAAGTATGTCCAAAAATGTCAAATAAAAGATGAAAGTAATACGAAGATTTGGCCTTTGGAATATGTTTATTTTATGGAGGAACATTGTATCAGGCATGACGTTTATTATTTAGATAAGTATCTCAGAAAATATAGCCAATAACACAAGACGGACCATTCATTTGAAAATGCATGTAATGATTATCAGACTTTACAGTATCTCTCCCTCATCATATTAACCCATATGAGCTATAAATGAGAAGTTCAACAAAATCACCAGACTCCATAAAACTCACCTTTAAAACAATAAATATTTCAATTATTTTGTGCAGTATTTACCTCACTAAATCTAAAGGCTCCCAGTACTTTAGCAGTGATTTCCACTTTTTATAAAAGTCATCTTGTTTTTTTTTTTTTAATTGATTAAAATTATATCTGGTTTTGTTATTAAATATTATGCATCTTTAAAGTCAGAAGACATGGAGTTCATGACTTCCTGACGTCATCTAAAGGCTCTGGACCTTTGATAGACCTCTATCTTCAAAGATAACATGCAGTATCAGAGATTTCTAGATACGCTATTGTTGTTTTGGTTGTGCAACCATGATTAGTCAAAAATGTGCAGACATACTCTCATGTATGAAACAGATCTTACCCCATGATTGTTGACAATTTTTAGAGGCAGTAAGTGCACAAAATTATATTCTACATTTAGATCTGGTGACACTGCAGATTCTTTGTGACAATAAAATGTTTTTTAACACAAAAATTAAGGGCTAATATAATGTTTTATTTCGTAAATGTGGAGAAGGTCAGGAATCAAGCTCATACTAGTCTCAAATGCAATGTAACCAAAAGATATTTACACCTGTGAAGAACCCTTTCATGGTCCATATCTGTTAAGTAATTAATAAAACCTTTAAAAAAAGTAAGACTTGAATTTGGACAAAAACATTTTTAATGACCAAGTAACATTTAATATAAATTATTAATGTGTAACATTAGTAGTTGGTCTGTTGGCATAAATGACACATGTTAGTACAGTACTGTGGAATTTTGCTACATCACAGACAAAATACAAAACAACACTATAATCAAAATTGGAAAAGGTTTGTCTGCAAACCAAAGTCTGAAATTGAAAAGGTACATTGTAAATGATTGGACCCAGTAGTGTGCTTCAGACTTTTAAGAGTCCTCAGGTGATGGTCAGTCGTAAGTCCATAAATGGCAATATCTACAGTATCTATGGCAATGAATGTCAACACAGTAGCAACACACACAAAAAAACACAATGATCAGACATGCAAACTCAAAACGGGGAGAGACTGGGCACTTTTATATTGATGTCCCCAATATTGATGTTACGGGGTATTTCAGGAAGATTCATATTTTTCACAGCAGAAACAGCTCGTGCTGGTGCGGTAGACAGACCACCCTGCCAAAAACACAAAAAATATATATTTTATTACTGTTATTAACCTCAAACTTCTAGTTTTTTCATGAACTATCATACTGGATTTATTCAGCATTAAACTGAAGCCCAAACCTATGAACAATATTCTGTAACCCAATCTTATAAGTCCAGTGAAAAATTTCAGGCTAAACCCGGCCCAAAAGAAAATGTCATACAATTAAAATAAAAAACATACTACAAAATTACAAACACAAACTCAAAGTTATACAAGAAAAACTACATGACCCTGGCCTGACCTCAACAGAACTGTTAAACACTGCATTTTGTTGTCAAAGTACAAAGTACGGTAGAGTTTATGAACCACCACTATCCTGCTTCTACGGTCTTTAACCAAATGTTGTGGATGGATGTTGCTTTGGTTCTCTTTAATGTGTGTGTTGTATTGTCTTATGTAACATTTCCTCATTTTAACCCCTTCCATGTATACATAAGAGTACGTCTAGTGTTGTCAAACATTATCAATCATTATTGCCTCGACTCCAGATAGCATATCAGGAACACAGTGACTGTGTGAAGCAATGATATCAGCCCAGATACCTTTCACTATTTTAGGCCTTTCATCTTTGATACAGCCAAAAGGTTTGCAGGAAAAAGAAAGTGATGCTAAACAAGATTAATGAAAATGTCTTTTGAGATATTCATGTTTTTCACAAACATTTCCGAGGCTCTGTGTCAACCATGCAGCTAAAAATCAAGTTAATGTGTACAATATTATTTAACCTGATTTTTTTTTAAAGTGTTAAAAAATTAGTATGTATCTTTCAGAGAAAGCTATTTAAAAATGTCCCTTCCTGTTTGGGTTGAGGCACAGCAATGCATGTAAAAGATGTCTGAATAAACTGGAGCGACTACCGGTTACTCTGTCAATGTGAACTCACCTCCGATTTCTCCATTCTGTTCTGCAGCTCCACTTGGGCGACTATTTCATTCATGTTAGTTTCCAGAACCATCCCACCCATGACAACTTCCTGGAGAATGTAATGAACCTGGAATAAACAACAAAAACGTCAACTTTCAAACCTTTGTTTTGAAATTAGTAACTTAAAAAAAATAATGACTTATGAATAAACAGCTAGGCCTGAGTAACAAAACACATTTCACAATTTGATTCTTTTTTATTGGGGTATATTATAGTAAATATTTAAAATATATTTATTAAAAAGAACCAGTTCGTAGGAGTCACTTGTTCAGGAATCCAGTTATACTTATTTACCTGTATGTTTTAATGTACTAAAAGAACTGCTTCATAGGAGCCATTTGTTTGTGAATCGGATGCAAAATGCGATTCATAAAATCAATACTTTAACATAAACAGCTCAGCTGACCGAATCAGAGCATTAAACTGAGACTGGACCATAACCTTAAAAATACACACATGCACAGGACTAGTGATGTGCATTATCAAATATGTTACATATGGCGTACTCAGACGAGTTACCATAAAGCCATACATTGCCATTTCCAAGTAATTCCCTCCACTCATAAAACATTTTTACTGATTAGATAACTAACAAAAGCAATGTAGTGTACACTTCTATCATGAACAGGTTTTACAGTGGTGCCATAATCCAACAGGCAATTATCAGAAAGAGTATAGTGACCTACATATAACCCTTCCCTTATATACTGGATCGAATTACGATCACTGGCAATTAATCATGCGCTGATGAACTTTAACAGCACCAAAGAGCACTTTTTGGTAACTAAAGAGATAAGAAGTTATATGAGTCATTATGAAAGGAACCAGGGTTATTTTAGTATCATGATATACTATTATGGTTTTTATTAGAGTTTTTTGTTAACATTTGTTATATCTATATAGTTCTTACTCATTTTTTGTTATTTTACTACTTAAAGATAAATTACATTTTTCTAAATTAAAAATGTAGAAATGATGCCTTGCTGAAATATGTTTAATTTTTTGAATATTTTCTTTTATTTCAGTTAACATTTATTTTATTTCAAGTAACAAAAATGTTTTGTTTTTTTATGGTTTTAGTTTCATTTTAGTTTTCGTTAATGATAATAACTTTGAAATCTGACCTTATCCATGTGAAAGATTAAGTCCAGTTCACACACATTCTCAAAGCATTTGTCCAGGGTTTCCACAAAGACCTGCATGACAAAATTATACACAATTGTGAATAACAACATGTTCTTTCAGTGAGATTTTCAAAAGGTAACGTTTCAGGTTACACACACCAAAAAAGAAGCAAATTAACTACTCGTGCACAAAAAGGTTCTATGGCATTACCATTCAGATGGTATTCTGATATATACCATACTAAATTAATGGTATTTACATACAGGTAATATGGAATTAGTATGGTCCACTGAGAACTAATGCATCCTGATATGTTAAACGACCATTGCACTAAAACAAGTGTTTTAAACTCTGCCTTTTCTTTATGTACATCTTCAATAAAAAGTTGATACCTGAATGCAATATTGGAAGTCGTGGCCTAATGGTTAGAGAGTCGGACTCATAACCCAAAGGTTGTGGGTTCGAGTCTCGTACCGGCAGGGATTGTAGGTGGGGGGGAGTGAATGTACAGTGCTCTCTCCCACCTTCAATACCACGACTGAGGTGCCCTTGAGCAAGGCACTGAACCCCCAACTGCTCCCCGGATGCTGCAGCAAAAAAAAAAACAGCTGCCCACTGCTGTGTGTGTGTGTGTGTGTGTGTGTGTGTGTGTGTGTGCACTTTGGATGGGTAAATGCAGAGGACTAATTCCGAGTATGGGTCACCATACTTGGCCACATGTCACGCTTGATATACCTGATACCTGAGATACATTAACTACCCCCTTGTGGCTGTAGGCCAGAACTACAGCATGTAAAATGCAGTATGTTCACCTGAATGAGATCTAGAATCCCCAGCTCGCTCTCTGATGAATCCACACAAAACACAAAGTACAGGGTGGCATAGTGTCTGTATATCAGCTTGTAGTCAGAGCCTCCGATCAAACTAAAAGTGAAGAGCAAAACTACAGTAAATACCTTTTCAGTTTTATTGAGCACCTCAAAATAACTTTTGAGATTTCCATCCTCATACAGTACTAGATGTAGAGATATGGTTGACAATAATAACAGTAAGCCCTTATGTGTAACATTATTATGCAGATTATGTCACCTTCCGCCCTCCAGAAAATTGCAGACATTGTCATCTCTTTTGGACACCAGATGAAAGGTCTCCCTAATGATCTGTTGTTGCATGTCTTCTGCCTGTGAAAAGAAACGTGATAAATTAATTTGACCTTGGATTTTCCACATAAACTTTAAAATTACACATTAAAATATACAGAGGAGCGAATGAAACATTAGTGGTTTAACATTATATAAAAATGACTACTATGAACATGTAATATAAATTATTACATTTATATAGAGGAGCACATAGATATATAATAAATAAGCAACAACAAAATGAAGAACTGAAGCTAAGAAAACAATCAAGACAAAAATAAACATTCCATATCACAAAACTTTGTATTTGTACACAAATGTTTTATCTGAAGCTGCATGTTCAACTATGATATATTGAATAAAAGACACTAATTCAATTAATCTGCTGGTAGTCTCAATAGTAAGAATGGCAATAGCTGGCAAATGCAGCTTCAGTGTCTTCTATGCGCTTATCTTACAAAATATTGGTAGAATCTGATGAGCCTGGGTTTCCCGTGGTTGTTAAAAATAAGAATAGCCTTGATCATCCTTGCCGCTTGATTATTTTTATGTGGTTACTCTTTTTTTTTAGCTAAGCTTCAGCTTGTCAATAAAAAACGACTCTAGTGTCACGTGGCTTTTGCATTATACAAGTCCGTTGTACATTGCAATATTTGGCGGTATTTGTTAGTATTCATATAAAAATCAATTTTACAGATAATCCCCATTATACTCCACAAACTATGACTACCGTGGTAATTGTTGTAATGAGTCATGATTTTTGTAATCAATTTTCACCTGCGTTCAATGACGAATTGATGAGCTGGGGACTTTTATTTTGACGCGTTCACTGCCCGCTGCGTGACCCGGAAGTCCTGCATTTCCTCTTGTCGCATCAGTCGCGTGTCGTGTCTGTCGGCTAGCTGCTACTTATATAAACAACCCGAATTAAAATATGAAACACTTGACAGGAGAGTGACAATAACCACGCACTGCATGAGGAATGAGACGGTATTCATTTGCTTACGCTTGTAAACTGCAGCAAAGAAAGAGTTTTGGAAACGCTGCTGTGTAACGTTACATGCATACAAACTGAAATTTTTATTGTGAAAGGACGCATTGTATTTGTTGGTAAGTGCATCCTCGTGAGCTTTTTTTTAATCAATGCTTTATATTTAACACCGTTTTTGTATCATAATTTTATTGTAGCCATTCAATTGCTTGTTTAATTAAATCAACTTGTACTTAGTGCAATTAATATGTATATTTTATGTTATTTCTACTGTAGGGTGTGTCTCTAAGAAAAATAGATCCAAATGTAAGCGAGTTAGAAAACATGTTCCATTGTAAACAGCAAACAATAGTGGTGTTTGTAATCACACTCCTCTAACTGACCTACATTCCCATAGTTATGACCGAAGAAGTTAGTAACCATAATAATACTCTCAGATAAGTATTTTGGGTTGTATTTGTGATTTGTAACGGCATTCGTTTGCATAATTACTTCTATTGGTAAGTCAGTGTTATGGGTTAAGAAAAATAGATGCAATAATGCATTGGCATTCTTTGCTGATAGATCTATGGAAGTGATTTAATTTTTTTTCTCTATAGCTACAAACTGCTTTATTTCTTTTCTGTTTTTAATTCCAGCTCAGCCGGACCATCCGTGAATAATCTGCTTCATCTCTTAGTGAGTTTCATTGCTTTGTTCAAGCCTCGATGGAAGTCATATGATCTGTACATCCTGGAACGGGTTTAGTGAGCCCTTCAGTGCTGTTTGCAGTGACCGCTGTAACCAGGCGTCTGGAGGGGTGTGGCAGACATTTATGTGCTTCACCCAAGACCTATTTATTCACTTTTGAAACTTCCTTATAACCAACAAAGCCTTTATTGAACGCAGGTTCAACTCAAGTTCAAAGCACTTAGAAGAGGTTAGGGCTTATGTTACTTTAAAATGGGAGCTTCTAATGTGAAAAAAGAACATAAACGGTAACTTTATATTATGCCTACGTGTTTTATAGCACTTGTGGTCTAGTCTTAGTTGAACAGGATTGAAACAGCTGTTTTGCAGGTAGAGCAGATGAAATTTCGAAACTTTTCCTTGTAGTGTTTTGGAATTTGTACTAGATGGCGCAATTGAGTCACATTTATTTTCATTCTCACTTCCTCCTCTGATACAATTCACATCTATCTATCTTTCTATCATCTAATGTATTTAAAAAGTAAATATATTTGAGTCGAGTAACAGTTTTGTTGTTTTTGTATATTTCACAGGTGTTGGGGATGTGACCCTCTCTCACATTATGGTCTCAGCCACTCATGTGATCATGACTGTCCATCCCGTTCTGGTCCTGCTGCCCATTCTGGGGCTCATTGTGCTTCCATGTACACCCTTGCCATTAGAGAATGGCCTTAGGATAGTGGCTAATGTGACTGTGGACGACCCAGGGGCATGTGGCCTAAATTATTGTAAGTCTATCTCTACTGCACCGCAAATGTCCTTTTGATTTATTCCTTTAAATTGTGTTTCAGTAATTGTTTTTTTTTTTTTATATATAAATGTAACATTTCTGAATAAATATTCTTGGATTTCAATAAAATATTGAGATATAGGTAACTACAAAGGATGAGTCATGAGGTTCTCTAGTGTAAAAGGTATTTTTAAAATGTTACATTTTTAAGAAACCATTCTTTTCTATAGTTTAATTTATTTGAGATAGCTTTTGCCAGTGATACATGAGACACAGCAGGGCCCAACAGTACAACACTCATAAGTTAATGGGTCTGATTCTGTACAATAGTAGTTTTGCTTATATATATATATTATATTATATTATATTACGTAATAATCACTTGAATCTAGCTTGCGCTCACTGTTGTAAACAGACGCAGTTCCAGGGGAATGACGTATGGAGGTCGGCTTTGCGCATTCTAATTAGTAAAACGCAGCCTAATTTTCATTTTTGGGTGAACTAACCCTTTAAGGCTACTACTCTGACAGACGTTTGCCATGCCAAAATATTAAAGTGTTTTTGTGTGTGAAGAACGTTATTTTCTCATATTTTATATTTACTAATAGGTTTTTATTAGTGCTGTCAAACGATTAATTGCGATTAATCGCATCCAAAATAAAAGTGTTTGTTTACATAATAAATGTGTGTGTGCTGTGTATATTTATGTTTTTATAAATGCACACATACAGTATATATTTTGAAATTATTTACATGTATTTACATGTATATATTTATATTCATATAATTGTTATATATATTTAATATATAAACGTAACATTTTCCTTAAATGTGCATGCATATGTGTGTATTTATTTATGCATAATACATTTACATTTACACTTTTATCCAAAGCGACTTACAAATGACAATGGAAGCAATCAAAATCAACAAAAGAGCAATGATATGCAAGTGTTATAACAAGTCTCAGTTAGCTTAACGCAGTACACGTAGCAAGTTTTTTTTTATTATTTTTTTTTATTATATAATAAATAAAAAGAAAACGGATTGAATAGAAAAAGAATAGACCAAGCTAGTGTTGGAGGCCTTTTTTGCTTTTGTTAATTGTATTATAAATAAAAAGGAAAAACAAATGGATACAATACAAAAAGATTAGAAAAGCTAGTGTTAGTTTTTTTTAGAAAACAAGCAGTAAATGAATAGTGCAAGTCTAAGGGACAAGTTGTTTTTTTTAAGAATAGTATTAGAATAGAAAGTGCTAGAGTTAGAGGGTCAAATAAAGATGGAAGAGATGTGTTTTTAGCCGATTCTTGAAGATGGCTAAGGACTCAGCTGCTCGGATTGAGTTGGGCAGGTCATTCCACCAGGTGGGAACATTTAATTTAAAAGTCCGTGAAAGTGATTTTGTGCCTCTTTGGGATGGCACAATAAAGCAACGTTCACTTGCAGAACGCAAGCTTCTAGAGGGCACATAACTCTGAAGTAATGAATTTAGGTAAAGGGGTGCAGAGCCAGTGGTGGTTTTGTAGGCAAGCATTAATGCCTTTTTATTTTATGCGAGCAGCTATTGGTAGCCAGTGCAAATTGATAAATAATAAATATACACAGTACACACACATTATGTAAACCAAAACCTTTATTTTGAATGTGATTAATCGCGATTAATCGTTTGACAGCACTAGTTATTTATATTTGTCATTTAATGTCAATCTGTTTTAACACAAAAAAATATTGAAATATTAATAATTATATTATGCAAACTATGATGGGGCCATTGCATAAATTGTTTATATTTTATATATTGTAATATACAATGCAATAAATATATAATATTACATGGATACATTTTTTCGCACAAAACCTTGTCTAAGCAAGTCATCTTGATAACTTTACCTTTGTGTTATATCTTCATCAGCAGAATTTGGCAATATTCAATACATCAGATTGATTTTAATTTTTAATTTTCATTTAATTTGATTGATTTTCATTTTAATTAAATAATTTTTAAAGGGATAGTTTACCCAAAAATAAAAATTGTCTTAGTTTACTCCCCCTTCATGTCATTCAGAACTAGTGCTGTCAAATGATTAATCGCATCCAAAATAAAAAATTGTTTACATAATATATGCATGTGTACTGTGTATATTTATGTATATAAATACACACAGTATATATTTTGAAAATATTTACATGTATATATTTGTATTCATATAATTTATATTGTATATAAATATATTTAATATATAAACCTATCATATTTTTCTGAAATGTATACATGCGTGTGTGTATTTATATATACATAATAAATATACACCGTACACACGCATATATTATGTAAACAAAAACTTCATTTAAACTTAAAAAAAAAAAAACACACTGAGGCTTTGTTCAAAGTGTTATACATGTTTTGGAATGACATGAGTCTGGGTAAATGATGACAGAATTTTATTTTTTATTTTTTTTAATGAACAATCCTTTTAAGTTTGCAAAATGAAGTATGTGCATGTCTTGACAGTTCCATCAACTGGCCTGCAACTCTCTCACACAGGCCATCCTTATTGTTGAACCCTGCACAAACATAATTGTTTGATTATTTTCCACTATTTCCAAGAGTTAAACCAGCCTGTTTTTCTTTTTCTTTGTTTCTTTGAGGGCTTGAGAATGAAATGCAATCTGCGTGCTACCTTCAGAGATATACCTGCGGAATATCATTTTTATTTTTATTTTTTAAAGTAAAGCCATATGTTGTGTTTTGTCTTTTATACATCACGTTTTTCCGTTGAAGGACGTGCACTTTCAAAGAAGGCCATGTGTTTCCCATTTAAGATGAAAGGGAGGCCTGGGCTGGCTGTTCTGCTTATGCGCCAGGCGCTGCTTCAGCGGGCTGTACCCTTCTACAGTCTTCGTCAAGACATGCTCTTTTTCTAATTAAATCACTTTTTTTTTCCCCCCTCTCGCTTTGACCACACACGTTGCACTTGACTATCTCGCCACCTCTGTAAACACACATACAGCTGAAATGACCCCGAGGCTGGCTTTGTGTTCGGGGGTAGAGCGACTGGCCCTGCCCCCGCCTGATAACACGCACGTATGTTGTCGGTATTGAGTTTCCATCACGTTAACTGTACGGAGATGGAAAGCAAGGTCAGAATCACCATCGCCATCTGGAAGTCTGAAATGTTTGGAATGATGGCGAGCTATAAATACATAAGCATTGCACTGCAGGGAACGGTGTGTTTTGGACACGTCAAAGACTAAACGTACTACAGGGCAACCTGTGGCGACTGCAAAAAT